TCATGAAGGAAACGCATTGAAACATCAAATGTTGCACCTGACGATTAAAATATGACATTTAAGAGACAAACACATTGATAATCAAACGTCTTAAGAAACCTACCACCCCAGTTTTCCATTGAAAATAAGTTAGGCAATGAGTGTGATACAAAAGGAGCGATTCTGGTGAGGTCATACGTACGAACCCTGGTGGCCAGCAGGCTCTGATGAGCATCACGAAATGTTGTGTCTGTTATAAGGCACCCCTTATTGTTACGAACTGCTTTAGAAAATCCTTCAGGCCCATCTTTGAGAAACACATCGCGTAATCCGTATGGTGGTGATTGTCCTCAAACGAAATTTGATATAGATTTGAAAAAGCTTTATTCGCTTCCTAAATGGTAAGTGGTTTAGGTGAGTTCAACTTACTGGCTGGTGTTACCGGAACAGGTGCTTTCACATTTGCCGGCTGCAGCTGTGTTGCTAGAGGTGTTGTCGGACCGTTTACTTGGACTTCGGCTATGTAATTCAAAAGTTTTTGTGCGCGATTTTGACTTGGTTTAAATTGAAAAAGTTCCGGATGCTCATCGATAAAATATGTGTCAACAGACGAGTCCAAAAATTTTGGTTGTTGTAAAACGTTTAAGAGAAAAGGAATGTTTGTCTGAAATACGATATGAACAAATAAATGAAGGACGAAAAACATCATAAAACGTCTATTTATTTTTTTTAAATTTTCCTTTAAACTTGCCTTGACACCACGAATCCTAAACTCCTGAAGAGCACGAACCATTTTTGCTGCAGCACATGGATGGTCCCGAGCTCGAGCGATGACTTTGACGAGAAGGGAGTCATAATGGGGCGATATTACCGACCCCGCATACGTCGACGCTGAATCCAGCCTGATTCCCATACCTTCACCACTCCGGAAAACCTAAACTTTCTAATAGGCCTGTTGACGTATTAGGTGGGGCCGACAAGGACCCTCAAAAACGCTCTGATTTAAAATACCATTCTGAAATCTCCTTTGAAACGTTTGTTATATTTGACTAATTCCGTTATAAAAATTAATAGAGTGTTTTAAGAATCTTAAGTAATAAATGTCTTTATACTTTGAGACGTTTTCAAATTCTGTAAGGGTACTTGTTTAGTAATAATACCGGAAGGTTTTTATTAGAATTATATTAAGACAAAAGATGTACTTCAATACGTCCGGAATCTGGCTGGAAGTTACGAGCCGGGTCCTCAGTAGTTACTCTACACTGAATCGCGCATCCGTTCACTTTGATTTGGTCCTGTGAAATTTTGATATCTTCCAGAGTCTTACCTTCGGCGACCAAAATTTGCGCTTGCACAAGATCAACTCTGAGTTTCAGTCATGAATTACACATTGCTCTAATTTCTAGACTTATTATTTTATAGTTATCTAGAACTCACCCCGTTATTTCTTCAGACACAGTGTGCTCTACTTGTAATCTAGCATTCACTTCAATAAAATAGTAGCTGCCTTTTTGGTCGAGAAGAAACTCGACCGTACCTTAAAAAGTTACTTATTTAAGCGCCTCTGATCCCTGATATAATCCTTAAACACAAAAGTACCTGCGCTCTGGTACCCTACATGTTTTGCAATCCGAAGAGCATCAGCCAAAATTTTATCACGGGTTTCAGGAGCTAATGCTGGAGCAGGTGCGATTTCAACCAACTTCTGGTGACGTCTCTGAACTGAGCAGTCACGCTCGTATAAGTGTACCTGATTGCCGTATTTGTCACCTCAATGAATTTATCGAAGTTGTAGCAGCACGTTCAGTAATTTTAATAAAGAGAAAATTTATGCTACACAGAATTTCTTTTGCGATGCAACCAACAGTATTACTTCTGCAGCAATAAAAATCATTCAAAAAATCTCTATTTTTAAAGTTAACAGCTTCTGAGTTGTTACCGAATATCTGGACCTCAATATGTCTCGGACGTTCAATAAACTTTTCAACAAACAACGACCCATCCCCAAATGAAGCCTGTGCCTCTGAGAACGCTCTTTGAAATGATGTTTCTACCTTAAGTATAATTCTGACTTATGTTTTTCCGGAAATAAGCATATTAGATATCACAAGAAAACCAGCCTCACATCTTCTTCCTTATCTACTCGGCGCATACCACGTCCACCGCCACCAAAAGCGGCTTTTAGAATGACGGGACATCCATGCTGCTTAACAAATTCAACAGCTTCTGTGACATTGGTTACCGGTCCTGGAGTACCAGGAACAATTTGAACACCAGCTTCAATTGCAGCTTCCCTAGCAGCGACCTGAAAACAGTCACACACAGTAAGATTTATTGCACTAAAATGATGTGAAACGTGTACGTGCTTGGCTTACCTGTCAAGTTTGATTTTAACTCTCACTATCGCTAAAATTAACAAATAATCAACTAACGCTTTGATGTATAAAGTAATTTTTTGGGTAAATGAAGAGCCTTTTTCCAATAAATCTTCATCGTTTCCACATAGAACATTTAAAACAAAACCTTGTCGCCCATACGAGCAATAACATCAGGATTTGGGCCAATGAAAACAATGCCTGCTTCTTCACACGCCTTAGCAAAATCCGCTCTCTCGGAAAGAAAACCATAGCCAGGGTGGATAGCATCAACTTCATTCTACAAATCGTAAGCAAATTGAAAAACGTTTTTTAAAGCCAGAAACCTACCTCGCCACAACAACTCTGCAAGACCAATAATTTATGCGTTACCGAGACTTCATTGAACCAAGTTTAGGTAATCTGCTCAAAAACTCACTTCGCATGCAACTTCAATGATGTTTGGGATAGCCAAATACGCGGCAACTGGTGGTAAACCTTTACCAACAAGATAGGCTTCATCTGCTTTGAGCCGATGCAGTGAGTTCTTATCCTGAACATTGCCTCACAATTAGAATGTTTCTAAAAAATTCTTCAGAAGTTTGCCTCTGACATATTCGTATAAACTTGCCTGCTCAGAAAATATAGCCACAGAAGTTTTGTTCAACTCAGTTAGAGCGCGAAACACTCGAATAGCAATTTCTCCTCTATTCGCCACCATGACCTTAAAACATTACTTGAATCAACGGTAAGTTGAGACTGGCCTCTGCATTTCTACGAGGCAGTGTTGCACCATACATTACAAATAACTCCTTAAAGCCCGCAATTACTTAAGTTTTGCTTAAAGTAGCTCCACCAACCTTTTTGAAATTCCGCTTCTGTACTGTTTCTTGGGCTTTGCTCCCTGCTGCAACACTGAAGCCACGGTGATGGCTCAGCCCAATTCTAGTTTGGGAGAACCTTCGTAGCAAATCCTGAGATCGAACACGTAGAAAAGTTGAAGCTAACATAGTTTCTGAAAAAGTTCTTGGTCAAGTAGTGACTGAACGATTGATAAATCAGGATTTCAATATATCCTGCACAATCAATAACTGCTGCGGAAGTACCGAAAAAAATATTACTATATGTTCGCCTTGCAGTAGAAAGTAATCGCGTATGGATTTAAGGCCAATTTGCAAAACGCTTAATGCTCCCAGAAAATTCAAGTAAAATGTAATCGGAAGAGGCTGGATCTTTCGTTACTTTCTTCTTTACCTCGAGTATTACACGAGTGACACTCAGGCGACAAATATACAGACTATTGACAACGACAGCAAAGCGAAGCAGTAGTTGGAATGCTTTTTGAAATCTGTACACTACCGTAAGACAGGCGTGTTTAGGTTAGACAATTTTAAACTGTTTCTCATTTAATTTCAGAAGTATTTAAAACAGAATTGTCTGCTGGATGAAGCAATTTTATTGAAGGCAACGTTAATATCTACGGCATGTTCTTGTAGGCATGTGTGAACATCACATGTGATACACATTTGGACTATTATTGCAACGTAAAGTGCCTACTCAGCTACGAAACAAGCGTAGCGTTTTCCTGCTAAAAAAACTGACACATGAAAATACAGAATAAATTCTAACAAGTTTCCTACACAAAAATGGTTTTCGAGAAATTCGGTTTTGGATGACCAACGCTTTTTGGTCATTTTCTAAGATATCAGTTAAAATGACGCTGTCGACAGACCTGCTTACTCCGTGTGGCAGTACAGAAGGCATATTTTTTACTCGAGTGTTTTCTGGATATAATGAGACAGCAGAAAAACAGTAATTGTAGGCTAAAAGAATAAATCAAGCACAGGTTAGTGAAAAAAAGGCTCTTTTAACTGAAGTATACTAAATAAAATAAAGAGCGAAAGCAGTCAAAGAAAAATTGAATGTTTTGTTGCACATGTAAATTAACAGTAAATATACAAATACGTAATGCATCAAATGAAAAGTTCATTAGGAGAGGCGGGGGCTTCATGGTCTAAAACCTTAGGTTCACCACTATAATAAGAAGACAGTACATTATTTAAAGAAAAGCATTAAATTTACATCTACATTTAAAATAGGTTTAGAAAAAATTCTAAAGCTTTCTTACTGTTGGCTAGTTTCCTTAAGTTAATAAACCTTTGAACATTCACACATTACCTGTAAAGATGGCAAAAATCTTTTTTTGGTTTATAAACCTTCAACGTTTTCTCACCTTATTAGAATTTTTTTGAAAGTTCTTTTGTAAATTCTTTACATCTGACTTTGTCACCCAAGTAAAGAAGTGTAAGAATAAGCTTTTTTGTAAATGCGAGCGGTACATTTCAACTATAGCCGCCACAATCATTGGCGACAAAAGAAAAGAACTGATTCACCGCTTGATTAACAGTCTATTAATCGCGCGACAAAGAAGTCTCAAAGTTTGCCAAGTATCCATCTCTTAACTTGTAATTCGTCGTATAACTTTTCTTTGACGTCTTCTATAAATTCTTTAAGCTTTTCCTCGATAAGAAGACAAGCTAACCATTTTAAGTTTGATAGCTAATTCTTTGCAAGAGCAGAGAACTTTTGAGAGATCAGATGGAAAGTAAGTTGTTACTGATCTCTGGCAAAGAACCAATGTGGGTTTTGCTTCTAACAGCTGTTTTATATAAAATCAGGTGTATTCCAGGTGTGAAATTCTTTTGAAATTATAGAGTCAGTGTGGGCTTGACATTTAGATTTTCCTTGTAAAAGGCAAGTTAGCTGAGGTTAAGTAATTGTTTTAAAATTAACAATTCAAATAAGTAGTAAACGACAGTTCGTAAATCTTTAGCAGTATTAAAGATTTCGTTCTCATTGCTCACAGGTTTACTTTTTTTTTTTT